GAATAAGTTTCTAATGTATCCAATCTAAATATTTGTTCCTAACTCCAAAAAACAAATCAAGTTACTAACTACACGAATACCCCTCTCCCCTTGATCGAATCTGCTGTTATTTTGCAGACACTTTTTCGTGTCTGACACTTGTCGGGAAAACGGATTTACCTGAGAATACCAGATTACATTACATTAAAAATCACATACAATATATATATAATACACAAAATAATAGATAAATAAAAAATCTACCACAAGAAAAATATCAGGCTTAAAATTATATTAAAAAATTATGCTGTACGTATATATTATTTACAAAAAAATTGTAGCTCTTCACCCCTCCTAAAGCTTTGGAAACAATTACTTTGGTGTGGAAGTCAACATTTAGTTGCCCATGGTTCTTTGCAGAATGATTTCCTGGTTCTCCTTAGGACTTTGTGCGTTTGGACTAGTTTAACTCGGAATCATTGCATCTCTTCTTCCAGCTGCAATGACGGTTCATTGTACTTCAACAACCAATTATTCTATTTATTCTAAAGTGCCTAAGACTCTGTCGATTAGGCAACTTGGATCTAGCAGTGTTATTTCAGGATTGGTATCTGCTGAAGCATAGGTGGTCGGTAATGACTGTCATTGGAATTGGTGGGAGCTCTGACTTTGGCTGCTGCTGAAGCTGACTGCGGGAACCACTTAGGTGGTGGTGGGTTAGCCACAATGGATGTCGATGCCCTATATTGATCCTGTTAGTTGTCGACACTCTTGATGTTTTGGTATTCTTGGTAAAACGGTTTTCCCACAAGGCAAACAGTTAGGCCCACTAACTGGAGAAGTCCAGACTATGGATATAACGCTCTCTCGACCTACAACTGAAATTGCCTAAAAGAAAGACTGAACACCGATTCGTTTCATCACAAGTTCACAAATGTTTATTTACAAAAACACATAATTACAATACAAAAAATTAAAGTTGAATAAGAGTAAGTGTTTAGTGGTGCGTGTCGAACTGACAAAATCAAATGAAGACTTTATTGAAAAAAGCCCTTATCAGTGCAGTTTATCCCCTATAAGTTAAAGTAAACCATATATTTGAAGTGAAAAATAATGCCTATTGAAGATTAAAACACAGCTACAAATGTTACGTTTAAACGAAACAAAAATCATGGTTTAAGCTGCACTTCAAACTTTGGCTAAACTACACATTTAAACACAATTCTGAAAAACAAAACAGAAAACAAGTCACTTCATTATATGAAAGTTAAGTTTAAAATAACACAAAAGTATTCACAAAAGATCCTCCATGTTAAAAGGAAAGGAAGATAAAAGAAAGTTTAAAAGCCAAGTTAAAAATATTATATTACAAAATCTAGAACACTCGAAAACTCTCAAAAAATATTTAATAATATCCTCTCTTACAGAAGCAAACATAGCCTTAAACACTAAAACAAAATATAAAATAAAGTTTGCTTGAATGTGAGGTGCATTTCGTTTGTCCAATGAGAGTTAAGCTTCACGGTGAATTGCCCTATACCCTTATACAAAGTTGTATCTTTCTATAAGAAGGTTGATTAATTGCCAATTAGCAAACTCACATATTAACCGTTTCCAAAACAGAGAAAATTAAGTCGTTCCTTGAACAAATTTGTGTATTCAAACAAAGAACTCTGAAAAACAAAAACAGTTTTGAAAACAAATCTTAAGTAAATAGTCACACAGATGACAACGCATCTCCTTGTTCTGATGTTTGTTGACCCTCCTGATGTTTAAAAGACTTCTGCCAGACTTCAATATGAAGGTCTTTTTGAAGATGAGTATACATTTGGCATTGATTTTGTTTAATGATGGTACATCCTGGGATGTGATGCTTTACAGTCTGGAGTTGGTATCTCGATTGCTCTGCTGGTTTCTTATTGATATGTGTTGGCATTAACTAGGGTGTTAAGTTTTGCTGCAGGAATGATGTACTCTCCAGAGTTACATGTGCTTGGGTCACGGTAGGCACACTTTCTGATACTTTGGCAGTGGCAAATTGATCAGTAGTCAGCTGTGGTGGTGGTACCTCCAGAGATATCAGTGCAACTCCATTTACGACTTTGACCAGAGGTTTTACGTCTGATGAATCAATGAGTAATTGTTTGAATTTCCTGGCTCCACAGTCTTTGGAGTGCCAAAGAAGCTTTCCAGATCACCCAAGTTTCTAAAGAGAAAGGATTCTAAATAGTTTTCTTCTTCTGTGGTGGTAGGGTAAGACACAGATGGTTAACAGCACTGAATATAACCAACAGCTGGCTATTTGAGCAGACAAAATAGTCAAAGGAATTAAGGACTGGATCTTAAATAGGAAAGTTAGGATTGAAATTGTAAGTCTGTAAACTTTATTTCCATCGAAAAAATAAAGAAGGCTGTATCTACAAGTTATACCCTGAGCCACTCTCTACTATCACCAAATATCTTCAACTTTACAGAAATATTTCACATGAGCAGACACACATGATACCATTGGCGAATGGACAAGAACAGAAGGTAACTACGGAGAAACAAACTTAGCCACTTTATTGACAAACGTTCTCTGTTAAACCTACAAACATTTCTGTGCATGTACATTTGGAATTTTTATATCTAACTTCAAAGTGAAATAAAGGAGAAAACACAGCTAGTATGTCTGTATACTACAGCGCCATGACACTATATTAACCCTCTGTAATACAAAAGCTCGTATTATTCCGGAGAACAAAGACAATTTCTGTAAATTATATAAGCCTTTGGAATTTTCTATTTCTGTACACGATTTATATTTTAGATTATCATAAGATATGCAATTCTTTGTCGTATCATGAGCTTTAAATGTAAGTAAAAATAATATTGTTTTATGTACCTCTCCCCTAATACACAAAATGGTACCTGGAATATCAGAACTATGGTAATAAAACCAACTGTATTTTGATAACTTATTGCAAGTCTACATCAAACCATTTCAGTATTCTTACCATATATGTACTTACAATTTCAGTGTGATGTTACTTTCTTATTTTGTGCAAACATTTTAAAATAACAACAAGTTCGCTTAGGCACTCGATTCCCAATCTGCAAGTCGCATGTTCGAATCCCTTCATCAAACATACTTGTCCTTTCAGCCTTGGAACTTTGTAATGTGACGCTTAATTCCACTATCCAATTAGAGTAGCACAAGATTTAGCGGTGTTGTTGTTAAGTGGATGGCTTCCCTCTAATCTATCACTTCTAAATTAGGGACGGCTAGTGCAAATATTCCTCGAGTAGCTTTGGTGAAATTCAACAATGAAACAAACAAAATATTTTTTTTTTGTAAGCACACAGCTACACAATGGTATATTTTTTTCTGGTCAATGCATGTACTGAAACCCAATTTTTAACATTATAAGCTCTCAGATACATTGCTGGGCCACCGGGGGGAGGGACAATAATAGTAGGGGTAAAATTATTATGTTTGTAGTACGGAAGTACATAGTGTTATGAAAATAAAGGAAAGTATATATATATATAATGAAATATTTAACATTTCAGTTTTAAGTACGTAAATCTGTTGAATGTTTGTTATTCGTCGGGGCAAAAGTATCTGATTATGTTTTGAAATGATTTGAATTTATAATGGTTCTCAAATCTGAATACATTACAAGGTAATATTAGGATTTTTTTTACACAATGAACCATGTAAAACATTTTATTGCTTATTATATGTTTCTACTTCAATACATGCAAATTAGGATAAAAATTAAACTAAGAATAATATTGTCAAAGAAAATCACTCACTTGTAATGATTTAGATTTTAAACTATCATTTATGATTTATTAAAATGTTTTCCATATAAATGGTGGTCATTTACGCTAAGAACAACAGTAGATCAACTTGGAATAATTTATTAAAAACTAAAAGCAAGTAAATCTAGGTTAAAGCAAAAAATATATAGATATTGAAGCTAAAGAGTGTTATAAAACACCACTCTATAAAACACAGCAACCGGATGTTTCATGAAGTTTATAAACTAGACTGATAAATACAATTATATACATACACACACAAACTTATATATATATATATATATATATATGACAAATTAATACGTCAATATAACAGACTATAGACTAACAAAGCAGGTGTTTTCCTCTAAACATTTATAAAATTTAGTTAGAAAATAGTTATAACGGATACAGCAAATGGTCCCTAGCCTGAGG